TGTTAAGAAATAATAGGCCCATATTTTTTTATAACTTGTTTTCCTAGAGTATTATACCATTTTGGAATATTGGTTAGTTGCGTCAATTTTTAAAAAACTTGCCATACTAGTGTTCATACTTTTTTTTTACACCACGATAAGTTAAATTTGGTTAAAAGTAAAAGTCTTCAAAAAATTTAGGGAATAAAATAAGTTTCATTAATTTTCGTGATAAAACAAGAGTTATTCTGGAGTTTTTAAGAATTGTGGTAGATAGCAGTACTATTCAGGTTGCCTATAAAAAAAAAAGAAAAAAATATTTAAAAAATTGTGGTCATGGTAGTGAAAAATATCATAAACGGTCTCAATTTCTGAAGAATTTCATTTTTTTTATATAACTTAAAATATAATTGGGATATTTTTTTTTTCTTTTTTTACCCGATTAGTCCGGGGCAGGTCTATCCTCCGGTGTTGGCTTATCGTTGAATTTTGGGACACGTTGTATATACACACACATATATATATATATATATATATATATATATATATATATATACATAAGTACGTGTATGTTGTTGTAGATATTTAATCTTAGGTTTTACTGCAAAATCTTAGAATTTACCGTAGTTCTAGCTTTTACAGTAACACATACATTGTTAACAAGCTTATAACAATTGAATTTATTATAAACAATTAAAACCATTTTTAACGCTAGGTTTTATTATTAAAACTAGTTGTTATTATTAAAACTAGTTTACAGATTTTATCGCGTGTATTAACTTATTTTATATTCCCGACGTTTCGAGCATTTTACAGCACCCATGGTCACGGTGGGAGTGAGACAGAGGTGTTGGACGTCCCAATGTCATTGACGTCCAATTAACCATGGCTACCTTCAGATTAAAATTGGGAATATAAAATAAGTTAATATTCTTAGTATAATTACTATATAACTAGTTTTTTTTATATAAAAGAAATCCCTACTGTTTTAACGCATGCAATGCGAACTCATATTTGCGAATAATTAAATTTGTTTCAATCTCAATAAGTCGGAACATATTTCTGAAAATTTTGAGAGTATCTGTCAACAATGAGGGCATCCACGACTTTTTCTGCCACCAGGGCGGCGCCACTAAAAAGTGAGGTATAATATTTGACAGATTTTTCATTGCGGGGAAATTAATAAGTTCGGAAAATGTAAAGGTTATTGTTTCTTTCTGTACTATTAGCTATATTTTATATTAATAACATTAAAAATAAATAAACCATACCACAGATATTCATATAAGTAGAAAAATTAAAAATAAAGTAAAAAATGTGCAAAAAGTTAAAGAGCAAACCACTCACGCATTTTATGTATTAATATAATACTCTAGAAACTGATGTTATTATTAAACATGTTATTATTAAAGGAAACCACAACTTTTTAATTTTTTTATTTAATTTTCAAGTTAATAAACATAATTATGTCCAGATTTATAAATAGTAACGTGGTAGAAATGTCTGGCATTAGGAACCGGAGACCCTTTTTAGGATCCTCAGGGGTGACGAAGTCTCTACATTTTCATTCTTAATCGAGGATGGATGTATGTCTCTGGGTTACGTCATCCACTTTACCATCAGGTGGACTGTGTTCTAATTTGTCAACCTTAGTCTTTGAAAAAAATCTAGACATGAAATCTGAAAAAATAGCCAGAATTTAATGCGATTCTTACAGACAACTGACGAAAGTATTTCTTTTACATAATTTTGTAGAATTCGGATTGCATTCAACTTTTTTGTGGGACTGTCTCAGAAAAATTAAGATGGTTGGCTATCATATAGAGTGGTTGTGTTTTTTCATAATATCAGAATTTCCTTAAATTAAACCAGAGAATAAATAATAGTACAAGAACAGAAGGGTCACTCTCTGATAGCAAACTTGCGTTTTTCAACTTAGTTATAACGTCGCTTATGGTCATAATACTTTGCACGACTCGGAAGTGACCTTCGTGAAATTAGCCTACCGTTTAAATCGTCGAAAAAAAATTGTTAAAAAATCAAAATGCACCTTCCGTTCACGTGCTGTATTACTTAACCCGTTACGTGCCTTTGTTAAGATCGCTTCTACTGTAGGGTTAGGTGTTGTGAGAAAACAAATTGAATCCTTTGATATTAGTTGGTATATAGTACAACAAGGTGTTATGCAATGTATTAATTGGTATTTCTGTATTTCTTTAGTTTATTTTTTGTAAAAAAACGTAGTAGAGGCAGTTAACAAACTTTTTCTTACAGAATAAGGGTGATAAACGAGCACACAGTCCATCTGATGGTAAGTGGTTGCTGTGGCGCATAGACATCTACATCTATTTTCGATTACGAATCAAAATGCAGATGTATTGTCACCCGTGAGGACTGAGATGGAATGCCTCGTTTCCAGTAAAAAGGGTCTCCGGTTCTTTACACTCACCATACGAAACACAGCAGCGTTAAGCTGCTATTTTACGCTGGTTTTCTGTGGGAGCATGGTCCATCCCTGGTGGAGCCGACCCATTCGTGCTACAACTACTAATATAGCTGCATCATGGCTCTACCACGTAAAAATGATGAAAGACATGCTCGTATAAAGTTTTGCAATATGTATTGTGATAAAAAATCCAATAATAGTAAATAACAGTATTTGACCCAAATATTATCTCAAGAACGACTTGACGAATTTATGGACAGAAACTTTCCAATAGAAGGAAGGATTTACTGTTATCGTCATGCTTGGCTTCGTTCTGGGTATTTTAAAAATAGCATTTAAGAAATATAACTAACCGTGTAGAGGCGGTGTAAGAATATTCATTATCCCCAAAACAAATCAGGAGATGAGAAGCAGCGTCTTCCTAATACTAGAAAGCAAAGTTGCACACAGCGGACGTAACGCCGAGTGGTAATGGCCACTCAACTTTGCCATCACAAGAGCGTCATCGTTACAAAATGATGAGTAATTACGTGTACTGATTTTTAGTAACCGCTCTAGCAATTGCGCACTTATCCTTCCCCCGATTGCTATTAAATCTATATTTTTTATCGTATACGCTCCGTCGACCTCATTTCCAGAAAGAGAAGCCAATCTAGATAACAAATTGACTTCCTCGAATGAATCATCAGGATATAGTCGTATCAAAAGGTTCTCACGCCCTACACAGCTGAACTATGATATAATAAATAATTTGACAGCGAAATAAATACAATTTTAACCGGCTTGCAATATTATTTTAATTTAGATATTTTTTTATAATAAGTTTCGAATCTTTCCGTATATTCAGGATTCTTTTTTATTTGATACTTAAATAACGTTTAATTTGAATCTAATGTTATTTTTCTGTACCTGTTAAGTGTCAAATAAAAAGTGTGGGGTAACTGGAAGGAGATCTTTTAGTTAATATGGATCTTTGTCGTCCGAAATATATAAACGTGGATTTTTGTATTTGATGTAATAATAATAATATAGCATATTATCATTATTCCCTTGAATACAGATCGGCAACCCATTTTAGAGAGTTTACGAGCTTTATTTTGAAAAATAAACTTGTTAGAAATTCCGTAGTTGAGTCTTGTAGGCCTTAGTGCTAAAAGGGTGAAGCATTATTGAGAATGTTCCAGGTATTGAAACTTGCATTCAATTTAAAGTATTCAAAGGCACATGGATTTTTCATAATGTGAGTTTATAAAATAACAAACTAAGATCTTTTGGTCTTTGATGATATTAATTGATAATAATTTACAATTCTAAACCAAATATACATACACATACAGTGCAGGATATAATAAAGTGCAAGATCTTCGTTAGTATAATGCGTGTTGATAACCCGCGGACTGCGGATCAAGACGCCAAACAGTCTCGCAGCTGCTGAAATGTCTTTGTTTTTAACGTACATTGACGCTTACAAACACATTTTATTACTTACATAATAGGGACGTATTCTAGGCGCTTTGCCGTTCCGAGATGAGTGGTGATAAGGGCTGAGACGACGAGCAGTCTCGTTATTGCTTTAACTCGTTTTATGCATTTGATATCAATTTGAATTTTATTGTATGTGTTTACTATACAGCGTGATCCGCGGCTTCAGATGATTTACACACATAACATTATTACTCCCTACCACAAAACACTATTATGGCTGATTTACACAGGGGCTGGCTCTAAATTCGAGGCATTTTCAGTAAAATGGGTCTCCGGTTCTTTACACTCACCATACGAAACACAGCAGCGTTAAGCTGCTATTTTACGCTGGTATTCTGTGAGAGCGTGGTACTGGCCCGGTCGAGCCGACTCGTTCGTGCTACAACTATACTACTAATATAGCTAATATAGTCCTATTTTTAAATATTTGTCAATTCATATGGCCTGCAAATTATTAGAACATGCTTTGTGTTTATAGTAACAGTTGGAGTTCTTGTCGTTATGCCATATAATTTATAAGTAAATATAGATTAACGTATGTTCATACTTGAAACAACTTTTAAAGATCTACCTATTTATCTTATTATAAACGGATATTTCATGAATAATTATTAAATTAAAATAAATATCACATTGTATATATATAGCACATGGTTAAAAAACATACCTAGATGTTTATAAGAATAAAGCATTTTATAAATGACAGGATTATTACAACCAAAAAATGATTTTGTAGGTATTGCTTTGTTTAAATCTGAAATTGAAATGTTATGACACGGCCATAATCGAAGTGAAACAAATGCGATCATTTGTATTATAGGAACTTTACATATCAAAAGTGATTAATTTCAAAAGACTGCGCACGTGAAATAAAATACATGACAGCACATGACACCAAAGACTTTGATGTGGTCTTATCAACATAAATTAAACTGAATGTAATTGTATATGCTTGTGGCATGTCAGAAATTTTTTAGACTCATTTTTTTTTGTAAAGACTTAGAGACACAGATTAAAAACTCATTTAATGCTAAAGATTAACATTATATAGCATAACATTTAAGGAATTTATTTATAAAAAAAAACTTACCAGCAATAAATAATACACATAACAGGACCTTCCCGCTTAGCATCTCCACTTTATTGTGTCCAATCTACAAAGGTAGCACTATGTTTTTCACACTAATACTGTTTAATTTTTATTAAGAATATGTATTTCGTAATTTAGTGTATTTATCTTTTGTACTCTTTGTCGTTAATGACGTTCGGAAATGTTGATGACAATAGAGTTATCGCTCCACTGCATCAGAGGCGTTTGGATCGCGCTCCAGGATGGACGGAAGGGGGGATGCGATCATAGTGTTGTGTTGGTGGTAGCGATAACCTCTGCCACCGCCGGAGAACGAAGCGATAAGAACTTCGCCTTTCAAATGAGAGCGTATATTCTTTCGCTTCTTAGATAATTCTATAGAACATCACTATTATTTACACTAGCGTCACCGTTGTTTCTCATTTCTATCAACGTGAGTATAGTAAATATGTTTGATTATTACTTATGTAATTTATTTTATCAATTGTCTAAATATCTTTTTTTCATGTTTGTTAAAAGTTCTTTGTTTCAAATCATTCTTCCTTTGCTTGAGTTGAAGCTTTTTTCCCCAAAGGTACCAATGTAGGTATGTATGTACTTAAAGTTTATGTTTTGATGTACAAGACGTAAAATGCTGCAACATCTTTTAATGAACACCTGTTGACCATTTTTAATGTATGTAATATTTGAAATATCCGTAAAACAGTTATCTGTAATTCAAAAGTAAATTTGAATTTTATTTTAGAAAATTTTATTTTGCTATAAAATATCTACTTTTATAACTTAATCTGTACTCCCACTAATTGCCCCTCAAACGCTCCCTTAGAATCCGTAATTGCTCCACGTCTATTACTATTAGTTAATTTATAATAATTTTTTTAAAAATGACATTTTAGAAAACTAAATTTAGCTATACAAAATTAAATGTATATATTTAAGGAGCAATTAATTGGCATACAGTTTAATTTAAAAAAAATAATGTTCTACTAGCGTAAAAAAGTTCAAAAGCTTTGAGTTTTCTTTATTTTATTTATATATTGCATGCCGTAAGCGCTAAGCACGTCGGTATGTTCTACTAGGGCCTAAAAATTAAGATTCCAACGTTTTGTCGCATGAAATCGTATCTAGCAATCATATTGTACATATAAGTGATATAAAAAGCGCATTGTCAGAAAGATAAATTATTGTTGAAATTATTAATATTTTTTTTAAATCAATTAATTGCTATTTTTAAATAAAAAAAGGGGTTTTAGTGGCTTAGGGTGTGGATTTATCAAGTCCGCAAGACTTGTAAGCACGATAACTTTTGAAAATATCAATTGTTCAACTCACTATATTTTTAAAACTCTTCATCTTTCATGTGGGAAGCCATTGAATGTAAATGGCAGTTTAATTTTGATTAGTTAAGTTATAATAATTTTTTTTCGGCTGCGAAATGGCGATATTTTCAGTGTGTTGATTCGGTTGTTTGCAGCGGCTCGAAGAGATCGCTGTACAAATACACAATATTCGAATAAACAATTGTATCAATTCTTTCATCATGGGTGTCATTTTCACGGTTTTCGAGGCTGTTGAAGCCAATAGTGCTGTCGAAATGTAAATCCAAGATGTCGGCTGCAATAGGTATCAAATTTTTCATCATGGGTATAATTTTCATGGTTTTCATGTGTGCTGAAGCCGATAGTGCTGTCAGAATGTAAATCCAAGATGGCGGCTGCAAAAGGTATCAATTTTTTCATCATAGGTGTCATTTTTATGGTTTTAGAGAGAGTTGAAGCCGATAAGGTTGTCGAAATGTAAATCCAAGATGGCAGCTGCAATAGGTATCAATTTTTTCATCATGGGTGTCATTTTCATGGTTTTCGAGAGAGTTGAAGGCGATAGTGCTGTCGAAATGTAAATCCAAGATGGCGGCTGCAATAGGTATCGAATTTTTCATCATGGGTATCATTTTCATGGTTTTTGAGGTTGCTGAAGCCGATAGTGCTGTCGAAATGTAAATCCAAGGTAGCGGCTGCAATAGGTATCAATTTTTTAATATTGGGTGTCATTTTCATGGTTTTCGAGGGTGTTGAAGCCGATAGGGCTGTAGAAATGTAAATCCAAGATGGTAGCTGAAATAGGTATCAATTTTTTCATCTTAGGTGTCATTTTCATGGTTTTCGAGGGTGTTGAAGCCGATAGGGCTGTCCAAATGTAAATCCAAGATGGCGGCTGCAATAGGTATCAATTTTTTCGTCATATTTAAATTGTATTTGTAAGCTAGTTATTTTAATTCGATTGATTGATCACTACAGAACCAAATTGTAAAAAAAAAACAATATCAAAAACATTTAAAGTTACAACTCTATTGATTCAATGGAGCGTAGGTAATTATGTCTTCAACTAGGCTTAGTGTCCCTACTGTCCCTATTTATACTGTGGTTAGGTGTTCCGGCTACCGCACGCATGTTAATTTCACCGACTCTAGATAAACCTACTTCAACGTTAAGTATAAGTTATTACTGGCGATCACACATCGTTAAATATTAAATTTCAAAACATTTTTGAAGTTAAAGACGACTCGACACAATGATGAATCTGGTAACTGAGGAAAAACATTTTGTAGTAAGAAGAAATGCGGGCCGACAGAATTGAAAATTAGGTATTGCATGCCGTAAGCGCAAGGCGCGCTGGTTTGTTCTACTATGGCCTAAAAATTAAGATTCCAACGTTTTGTCGCATGAAATCGTATCTAGCACGTGATATAAAAAGCACATTGCCAGAAAGATAAATGATTGTTGAACTTACGAATTTTTTTTAAAAATCGATTAATTTCTATTTATAAAAAAAGGGTTTTAGTGGCCTGTGTAGATTTATCAAGTCCACATGGTATCGTAAACACGATAACTTTTGAAAATATCAATTGTTCAACTCAATCTATTTTTTAAACTCTTCATCTATCATGTGGGAAGCCAATGAATGTAAATGGCAGTTAAATTTTGTTTTGTTTAGTTAATGTTTTGTTATAATAAATGTTTTTCGGCTAAGTAATGGCGAAATTTTCGGTGTTTTAAGCAGCCTTGTACTAATACATTTTACTAAATAGACAGTGTCTCACTCCGTCATTCCCACAAAACATACATATTATATAACTGGTCATTCCGGCCTCGGCCGCCGTCGTGAGTGGATACAGTAGCGTTTGTTTGCAGCGAAAAAGATCGCCGTAGAAATACGAAATATTCCAAAATCCAAATTTGATACATATTTGACCAAGGTTTTTTTTTATAGAATAGGGGGCAAACGAGCATGCGGCTAACCTGATGGTAAGTGACTAGCGCCGCCCATGAACAACCGCAACACCAGGAGAATTGTAGATGCGTTTCCGGCCTTTTAGAAGGTGTAAGCTCTTTTCTTGAAGGTTCCTAAGTCGTATTGGTCTGGAAAAATCGCTGGTGGTAATCGATTCCACAAGGAAGTTGTGCGAGGGAGAAAACTTCTTCTGATTCTTCTTGCGATTTGCACAGTGGTGGACCGCCAATCATCCAGATGGTATGGATGGTAACGTGAGTTTTGTCGCGATGTGCGATGGTGAAATTGAGCGGCTGGAATTAGTCCGAACAATTCCTCAGAGCACTCCCCGTGATAGATACGATAAAATACGCAAAGAGATGCAACATCTCTTCGCAGTGCCAGTGTATCGAGCCGCTCAGAAAGAACTCGGTCATCGACGATTCGAAGCGCTCTGCGCTGGATGCGGTCAAGTGGAAGGAGCTGGCACTGAGGTGCCCTGGCCCAGAGATGAGAATAGTATTCTATGTGAGGCCGAACTTGCCCTATGTAAAGTTGCAAGCGATGTGCCGGCATGAAATACTATTTCGCTCTGCTGAGCACGCCAAGCACGCCAAGGTAAGATATTATTATTATTTTTATATTCACAGATTTGTATAACAATATTTTGTTTTGCTAAAAGCATATATATTATTAGATTAGATTATATTTAATGTCCATGTCACACCTATGCCGGTAGTTGTTGGGAGCACTAAGCTCGGAGTTGTTGACGAGTATGTTTATGATCTGGTATGACCTGGGACAAATAGTCCGACTAGGTAAGTCCAACTTCGACCGAGAGGTCAATCGACGGATTCAACTCGGTAGAGCAGCGTTCGTCGGGAAATTACGCCACATCTTCTCGTCAGGTATACCTCAAAACTTGAAAACGAGACTGTACAACCAGTGCGTGTCGTCAGTGATAACATACGGAACTGAGGCGTGGTCCTTCACTGCTAGCCGTATGAGGAAGCTCAAGGTTGCTCAGCGAGCTATGGAGAAGGCTATGCTCAGAGTTTCTCTGCGTGATAAACTTAGGAATGAGGATATCCGCAGTAGAATCACAGTAACCGACATAGCGAAACGGATTAGTAACTTGAAGTGGCAGTGGGCCGGCCATATAGCTCGAAGAACCGACAACCGATGGGGAAGAAAGGTTCTTCAGTGGCAGCCTCGTACCGGTAGGCGAAGTTTAGGGCGACCCCCCACGAGATGGAGTGACGACCTGGTAAGATATGCAGGTGGCTCAGGACCGTGCTTTGTGGCATTCCTTGGGGGAGGCCTATGTTCAGCAGTGGACTTATGAAAGGCTGTAATGATGATATATTTATATATATATATATATATATATATATATATATATATATATATATACGTCATGGACTTTATAGACCTGAAAGTGTACTTCGGTATTTGCTAATGGAACTCCTCGACGAGGAGAACTAGATGTGCCGAGTTTGGGCTCGTTTTGTTAGTTATGATGAGACTTTACCTTCGAACTTGATAGATGGACTTGAAAGTATACTTTGATGACTGCTACTGGAACTCCTCGACGAGGAGAACTAGATGTGCCAAGCTTGGGCTCGTTTTGTTAGTTATGATAAGAGCTTACCTACGGACTTGATAGAGTGACTTGAAAGTGTACTTTGATGACTGCTACTGGAACTCTTCGACGAGGAGAACTAAATATGCCGAGTTTGGGCTTGTTTTGTTAGTTATGATGAGACTTTACCT